TACATTCCATACTTTCTAATATTCTTTGATTAATAGTGCAAAAATCAAAAACATTGAAGCAACAGAAGAAGCTAAAATGAAATTAATACATGATAAGCGCAATAAAAAAGATGGTCCATCACAGTTTGTTCCCACAAACATGGCAGTTAATTTTGTGCAACATAATAGATGTAAGTTAATTAAGAATAATATTTGATTTTGAATGTAATGCTTATTTTTTAATTTCTTATATTATTCAATTCTAGTTAATATTGAAATAACAGGACCAGATGGGAAAAAAAATTATAAACAACAACCTGCAGTTAAACAAGATCATTCAGATGAAAAAAATATAGATAAGAGAAAAAAAAAAGATAATGCTACTGATGATTTCCATTACGAAAGATTCAAAAAGCAGTTTCGTAGATATTAAGTGGTTTTCTTTAATTAGTATACTATWTGTTTTATGTATTTAATATTGATGTAAAATACTGTTTATAAAAATTATTGAAAACTATTTTAAATATACGTCATAATTTAAATTGTATTTAAATTTTATAAATATAAAAGATTTTTTGAAAAAAAATTTATTAATACCTACTATATTATTTTGTTCAGCTATTATGCTTATAAAGAAAAAATGTCTTATACTAAATAATGAAATGTAAAACTCAATTGCTGTTATAGGTGAATGAACAAATAGAAGATGGCTAAATATGTTACGATTTATAAATTGTGATAATGTGTATRGGGGTAAATATTAGAAAAAAAATCAATAATTAACAAATGTAGTACGTAGTACCTATAAAATTATAGTAGTGTTTGAGTTACTTGAAGTATTTATTTTTATAATAAGTATCTTATTATTATTACGAAGAACTAATAATTTTTTTTTACATGTGAATAATCATAATTCTATCACATCTATACACAATTATATGCATCCTAATTGAATACCTATTTTAATCAGTTTAGATTATAAACAATTATAATACTGMATTATCAAAAAATGTATAATTCCTTAATTGTGTTAGGTGTATCATTAGTTATTATTCACCTGTATATTAAATTAGAGATGATCGAAGAGTTTATAATTTTTTAGAAAATAAAATAATAACCGCGTTTTAATTTATAACATAATATCTAGAAATATTATTTAAATAAAAAACAACTTATCTGCTCTAGATAAATGTCAGCCCAACTGCCATTATTTTAAATAAATTATTTCTTAGTGGAGCGATGCATATAATAGTTTTACAATAAATTATGTGTTGTTATTTTGCGTCAATATTTGTAGGTAATATGTATTATAAATACAACCAATTTTTTTTTTATTRGTACAGCATCAATAACTRAGATTATTAGCTTGAATAATAATGATATTAATACATAWTTATTGTTACATTAAATTACTTATATTGAGTTGTACATATGAATACATTTAAGAAATACAATATTTTATTTTCTTGAAGGTTCAGATGGACTCAGTGTTTGTAATAATTTATAAGATGAGAAACCGCAATCATCATTATTTTTTCAGTATGGTATATCCAGGGGAAGGCTGGATTTAGGTATGTGGAGGCCCTTGGGCAGAATATATTGTGATGGGCACTAAGGGCCCAAATAAATAAACAAGACAACATATATTTTGCTTATTAAATAATGTTCAATATTTTCAGTAGTACCTATACTGGCTATACTTTCTATTTATTTAATTTTATTTGATAATAAATAAAAAACAATGAAAAAGGATAAATAGGTTACTTATATTTTATTATATTATTTTAATAATTATATTTAAAATTAAACGCCTGCAACTTTTCATGTTTTTATTTTTACAAAATCTTCGATTATACTTTCGGAATATCTACAGCTGAGCTCATTCTTGCCAGTTGATTGAGTTTTAGAACTGCGATATAATCGTTTTAAAAAATACGAAAATTTGAATAAATAGTTAAATGAAATTTTATTTTGAATAGAAAAATAAATTTCTATTCATTATTATCTGTAACTATAAAGTAATAACAAGCTGTGGAGTTCCAAATTTGTGAAGACTCCTGAGCTAAAGCCCTCCCATAAATCCAGCCATGGGTGTATCTACCACTAGATTCAGAGGTGCCGACTTTTAGATATTAGCACGGGGGCAAACTCTTCTATTAAGTGAAAAAAAATTCTATAGTATGCTGTAGTTTRCTTAMCGGGAGGAGTRATTACCRAATTGTCCCTTAACTCTATTTTAATACTCCTCTAGGGTGCTATAAATATATTTGTTTATAATTTATAAATAATATTATTTGGATTGAAAATTTTTAG